AAGCAGGCTTCCCGCCGAGCAGGGAGCCCGATGCGGGGCTCGATTCCAGGACCCTGGGATCATGACCCGAGCCGAAGGCAGACGCTTAACGACTGAGCCACCCAGGTGCCCCTGAATAGTTACCTTTCAAATAGTATTTCTTGTGGGTGACGAATAGCTGGTTTCCAATCTAGAGCTTCTATCTATGTGTGATGCTCAGAGAGAGCGTATGCCCAATTTCCCTCTACCTCTCCAGAATGCCAGGAAGGCCTGTTCAGAGGTCTTCTAACAGCTCCGCGTTCCGAGGGGACCGCTCACCTGCACTGGTAGCGCACACCGATGATCCTCCTCTGGCAGCTGCTGCAAGCAATATGCCAGTTGAACTGGTTTTCTGGCAAAAACAGTGTTTCCTCTGAAATGGGCACTGAGACTTCTGATGGACAGGAACCCAAGGATGGGTTCTGGAGGACTAGCTTCTCGTGTAATTTCTGTTCAAGTTTCTCAACTGTTTCTTTAACCACTTGCTCTCTGAACTAGAATACAGAAGATGGGAAAAAAGCCTCAGCTCCAACATTGGAAAAAAGCCTGAAGATATCAAATAGACCAGAGACCTTACTGTCTCTGGTATAAGAACATCATAAACAGCTAGTAGCTACTGACTGAATGGACAGAGATGTAGCGAAAGGAGGTCTATTCTTTCCACATGTACACTGGTTCGAAGGGGATACCAAGAAATCGTTTTGATGAGTAAATTGTTATCTAACCTCTTCCTTCTCAAGCATAGAGACTTGTTCCTTTCCCTCATCCTTAGAATGAGGCTCCCTCTTTTTCCGATACATCCCTGTAGAAGTTAGGAGCTTTCTGGACTAGTACTGCTCTAGTTTGGAAATGATTAGCTATTCTCATTCTCCTGCACCAGAGGCAGCAGACATCTGGGTTCAGCTTTCTATTCCTCCCACACTCCACCTGTGCCAACACGGCTGCTAAAACCCACACCAGAGAGAACACTCACTGTCTCCAGGTAGCTTGTGAACCAGTCTGGGGGCTTGTCTTGAGGCTGGTCTGCGTCACGGGGAGCAAGTGGAAACCGCTGCAAGGAAACACAACCCAAGATCTTGGAGGGTGCCTTTTTTTCCTGTTTAAGATAATTATTTTTTCAAAAAGATTTTGATTTTTTTTTTTTTTTTTAAGTAATCTCTACACCTAACATGGGACTCGAACTCACAACCCTGAGATCAAGAGTCACATGTTCTACCAACTGAGACAGCCAGGCACCCTTGTTTAAAATCATTTTCCTGAAATGCAATACTTCGAAGTTTCTTTTGTCAGGTAACAGAAATGTATGGTCAAAAAAACCCAATAAAGAGTATGACAAGGTACAAAAGGAAAACAAAGTCTCTATTATCACCCTCTTGCCCCTTCTCCAGAAGTAAGCAGTTACCAGTTTCAGAAAGTCAGGCAGAGATGGTCATAGTAACTCCCAAATCTTTGATGGACAGCTCAAATGTTACATCAGAGACAATGAGACCTAAGGCTCGAAAAACTATGTAGAGACAGGTCCATTCCCTTCATACCTGGGCTGTAGGCCCCTCTGGGGTCTTCATGTCTGATCCTAAGACCCTCACCAGTGACGAATAATGTGCAAGTGGCTTCTTCCCTGCCCTCACGACTGGCCGCTTTTCTGGTACAGCTGGTGGTGGGGCTTCGTGGACTTGCATCTGCAGTTGGTTTCCCTGCTTCACTGCCATCTGAGAGGGTACGTTACGAAATAAAGACATATCACGTGATTCTCCTTTCCCAAATGAAATCTCAAAGACATCTGAACACAAGGGGTATGGTGATTTATGCTGAAAATATTAGAATTTACCTTTATTTTATTAAATCTAATGGCATATACTATGCTAATAGTCATCCTGCTGTTTTTTTTGCCCAAAGTGTTAACTAGGAATGGTTTTATTATCAAAAACACAAAAGTAGGTTTAGGACAGCACTTTATTAGGTGAGATGTTCTCATTAACTGGGTTACTACTTTTCTGTTGAACTGGTTTTTATGTATGACCCCCCTTCTGGGTTTAAAAAAATTTTTATTTATTTATGAGAGAGCGAGCGAGCATGAACAGGGAGAGGGGCTGAGGGAGAGAGAGAAACAGACAAACCACTGAGCAGGGAGCCTGACGTGGGGCTTGATCCCAGGACCCTGGGATCATAACCTGAGCTGAAGGCAGATGCTTAATCAACTGAGCCACCCAGGTGCCCCATCCCACTTATGGATTTTAACCTCAACTTTTCAAAAAAGTCAATCCCAGACTACCAGAACCCAGGAAACTTAAAAGTTATATCCTATAATTAAGCGTTTATTTTTCCATTAAGAATAGTATTTTGGAAAATATGCTTGGGTGGCTACCTCTTTTTGAAGAGCATCTTCTTAAAAATCCTATTTTGAAAACTCTACTTCAGGGAACATTTGAGGTTCCATGAAGGTACTCCAGTGTCCAAGAAGAGATTAGGGGTCAAGTCCATCTGTTTCTAGATCTCCCCACTTGTCACCCAGTGACAAGAACTATTTTTTAATCTATTTTTACATATTAAGACTTAAGCTTCCATTTAAAAATAGCATTCTATGGTCAAAAAGTTTGAAAGGTATTATTTTAAGATCAGGGATCAGCAAATTTTCTTAAAGGGCCACATAATAAATATTTTAGGTGTGCAGGGGCGCCTGGGTGGCTCAGTTGTTCAGTGTCTGCCTCCAGCTCAGGTCATGATCTGAGGGTCCTGGGATCGAGCCCTGCATCGGGCTCCCTGCTCTGCGGGAAGCCTGCCTTTCCCTCTCCCACTCCCCGTGCTTGTGTTCCCTCTCTTGCTGTCTCTGTCAAAAAAATAAAATCTTAAAAAAAAAAAAAAATTTTTTTTTAGGCTTGCAGGCCATACAGTTTCTTCTCAAGTCTGCACAAAAGCAGCCACAAACAATATGTAATAGGAATGGCTGGGTTCCAATAAAACTTTATTTATAAAAACATATGCCCAGCCCACTGGCTAGTTTGCCAGCCCCTATTCTAGACCATAAACCAAGAAGCTGGTAGTAAAATGTATCTATATAGTCTGTGGAAAAAAACTGCTCAAGAAAGGACTATAATGAAATGTGTCAAAATATAAACATGGGATCTCATTATAGCAAGTACTATGTAAAAATGTATATAAAAAGTCTTGCTTCTTGAGACAGGGCAGGCTTAAACAACATCTAGACTCCCGAGGTCTGAGATTTCTTTCTTTCTTTTTTTTTAAAGATTTTAGTTGAGGGGTGCCTGGGTGGCTCAGTTGTTAAGCATCTGCCTTCGGCTCAGGTCATGATCCCAGCATCCTAGGACTGAGCCTCGCATCCGGCTCCCTGCTCTGCGGGAAGCCTGCTTCTCCCTCTCCCACTCCCCCTGCTTGTGTTCCCTCTCTCGCTGTGTCTCTGTCAAATAAATAAAATCTTAAAAAAAAAAAAAAAAAGATTTTAGTTGAGAGAGAGTGCGTGAGCGTGTGCACTGGAGCACAAGTGTGTGTGTGGGGGGAGGAGCAGAGGGAGAGGGACAAGCAGGCACCCTGCTCCGCAGCCATCAACGTGGGGCTCGATACCAGCACCCTGAGATTATGACCTGAGCCGAAGGCAGAAACTAAACCGACTGAACCACCCAGGCATCCCCCGAAGTCTGAGATTTCTGACTAAACAGGTAAACAGTGATTATGGGAAAGACAGAAGAGTTTTGAAGCCCACACACTTTTTTTGAGTGAAATTACTGTAGCTTCTGAGAATAGGGAAAGAGAAAAGCCAGGAGTTGGTAAAGGGTGAAAGGGTGTGGGGGACAGCATGTTACAACACCTTAAAAGCAAAAAGGAAATGGGGCAGCTAGGTGGCTCAGTCAGTTAAGCATCCGACTCTTGATTTTGGTTGGCTCAGGTTGTGATCTCAGGGTCATGAGATCGAGCCCCAAGTTGGGCTCCACGCTGCGTGTGGAGCCTGCTTAAGATTCTCTCTCTCAGGGCGCCTGAGTGGCTCAGATGGTTAAGCGTCTGCCTTCGGCTCAGGTCATGATCCCAGGGTCTTGGGATCGAGCCCCACATCGGGCTCCTGGCTCAGCGGGGAGCCTGCTTCTCCCTCTCCCTCTGCCTCTCTGCTCATGCTCTCTCTCTGTCTCAAATGAATAAAATCTTAAAAAAAAAAAAATTCTCCCTCTGCCCCACCCCATCGCTCCCCGTGCACTCTCTCAAAAAAAAAAAAAAAAAAGGCAAAGAGGAAATAGGAAGACCACATGAAAACTGGGAAGAAGGAAATTGTGAAGCATGAGATTACTCAGAGTATCTCAACTAAGAGAAACCAGGGTGGGGCCCGAATGTCCAAAACCAAGAGACAGCTGGTAAATAAGAATTTCTGAATAAAAACCAAGAAGACTGGCTAAACTGTTGAATCCAGTGGCACCCACAATGGCGATTTCGACCAGGCAAGAGAAAGGGTTAAACCAGCTCCCAATTTAAAACAATCTTGCCTTGGGGCACCTGGATGGCTCGTTAAGCATCAGACTTTTGATCTCAATTCAGGTCTTGATCTCAGGATTTTGAGTTCAAGCCCCACCTTGGGCTCCACAATGGGCGCTCCATGATGGAGCCTACTTAAAAAAAGAGAATCTTGGGGCGCCTGGGTGGCTTAGTCGTTAAGCATCTGCCTTTGGCTCAGGTCATGACCCCGGGGTCCTGGGATCGAGCCCTGCATCAGGCTCCCTGCTCAGCGGGAAGCCTGCTTCTCCCTCTCCCACTCCCCCTGCTTGTGTTCCCGCTCTCCCTGTCTCTCTCTCTCTGTCAAATAAATAAATAAAATCTTTAAAAAAAAAAAAAGAGAATCTTCCCTTTCCCTCCCTAGACCAAAAGTGATTGTGGAAAAGAGTTTAGTCGTGGATTAGAAGTTCATAAAGGATAGTCAAACTTTAAAGAAAAAATCTTAATTACAAAGGTGGTAATGAAGGGACAGCTGGGCACACCTTAAAGAAGTGACCTTGAGGAATGCTCTAAATCATTATTGACAAACAAGAGGTGAACTCAATAGTTTGTACCTTAAATTCTCCTGCATTATCCTGTAACATTCTATAGGAAACAAGGTAAAGGAAGACGAAAAGTGTGGACCAGAAAGCATCATTTCAGTTATTATTATTTTTTTAAGTAGGCTCCACATCCAGCGTGGAGCCCAGTGAGGGGCCTGAACCCATGGCCCTGAGATCAAGACCTGAGCTGAGATCAAGAGTCAGATGCTCAACCAAATGAGTCACCCAGGAGCCCCTCTTTGTATTTTTAAATGCTACAATGGTTATACCAAGACCAAAAATGAGAGGAAACAATAACTAGAAAAGAATCTTTATATCAGGAGCTGCCTGGCTGAGTGGTAAGCCCTACTCATCACATTCTCTCTAAAAATCTGTTCTGCTGGGATGCCTGCGTGGCTCAGTTGGTTAAGCATCTGCCTTCGGCTCAGGTCATGATCCCAGGGTCCTAGGATCGAGTCCCATATCAGGCTCCTTGCTCAGCAGGGGGCCTGCTTCTTCCTCTGCCTCCTGCTCCCCCTGGTTGTGCTTTCTCTCTCTCTCTCTCTGACAAATAAATTAATAAAATCTTAAAAAAGAAATAAAAATCTGTTCTGCTGTGTTTCATTAATGTCTGCCCATGGCTACTGGAATTCAGGTTCTAGTTTTAATAAATTTTTTAAAAAAGATTTTATTTATTTATTTGTTTGTTTGCAAGAGAGGGAGAAAGCACAAGCAGGGGGAGGTGCAGAGGGAGAAGCAGGCTCCCCACTGAGCAAGGAGCCCGATGCAGAGCCTGATCCCAGGACCCTGGGATCATGACCTGAGCCGATGGCAGCTGCCTAACCGACTGAGCCACCCAGGCACACCTAGTCAGTAAATAGTTTTAAAATTATTTGAAAATAAGATGAAATGATCAATGATCCTTACCTTAAGTGCTTCTTCATACTCTCCTAAAAAGACAAAGAACATATACTGTGATATTTCTTCACCAGCCCAAAGATTCTATTTAAGTACAGCCAATCCTTACTTTTAAGGATTTTTTTGCTTACAATCCTTATACATGAACAGCTGCTACCTTTTTGCTGACAAACTCCCTTCCGATCCCATTGTAAATAGAAACTACTTGTAGATTAGTTCTCTCTCTTAAATTCCCCTCTTTCTGCTACTGGAGCCTTCCAGCTACTGAAACCTCAACCCAGCGGCCTCATACTAGGTTTAGGGAAGCTCAGGACTCATGAGAGTTCATGCATATTGTTAATACAGGCAGGCCTCCAACATACTGCAGGTTTGGTTCCAGACCACTACAAAAGTGAATATCGCAAAAAAGCAAGTCAAATGAATTTTTCTGTTTTCCAGTGAATATAAAAATTATGTTTATACTATCTGCAATCTATTAAGTGTGTAATAGCATTATGCCTAGAAAAAAAAAGGTACATACCTTAATTTAAAAAAATACTTTATTGCTAAAAAATGCTAACCATCATTGGGGTTTAGCAAGTCGTAATTACTGATCACAGATCATTATAATATATATAATAACAATGAAAAAGTTCGAAATATTGAGAGAATTGTCAAAATGCGACACAGAGTGAGCAAATGCTGTTGGAAAAAGTGATGCAGGGTTGCCATAAACCTTCAATTTGTAAAAAAAAAAAAAAAAAAATTAGAGCTGGTTAAAATAAGCTTTGGGGGGGGCTAGCCTGGGAGCCTATTCTTCAAAGAGAACATTGTTCCTGTGGGAAAAGGTGCTCCAAGCTCTGAACAATCAACCATCTTATAATTAAATTCTGGAATACCATTTTATATGTTTGTAAGTTGACAGTAATATATATACCAAGTCAGGGACAAAGGCAACACCAGGAGAACAGAGTTGTATGTGTTGAACTGGGAGGCATATTTTCAGAAGATTACCATCTTAAATATAAGAGAACCTTCCATTAAAGCTGTCCTAGGGTCCAATCAAACGCACTAATCTACATACAAAAAACTGCTACAAAATAAAAATCCGCTATGTATCTAATGCCGATGGCTGAGTGAATCAGGTGTCAATTTACTGCATACTAAATTCCACTCTAAAATAAATACTGCAGCAAGATCTGAGTGGAAGTGGAAGTGTATACACTCATGAACAGACTAAAGCTTTTAAATATGGCTGAACAGGTTCTCTCAGGAACTCACCTTGACTATTGATGGATACCTGTAAAAGGACAAAAGCAACAGTGAATATAAACTTCCTGTCAGTTGAACATTTTTGTTACTAGGACCAGCCTCACAGATAAGATGCACAATCTCAGATTGGGGGTCAGCTTTTCCATTATCATGAACTAATTGTGAATAATAATTAAGGACTTTTATTGCTTAACTCCTGTATCCTCCTTATATTTCAGGTACATTAAGAGGCAACATAATACAGTGGTTAAGAGCCTGGGCTCTGGAGCCAGAAGGTAGGGAATGAACCGCTACTCTACTATTTCCAAGCTTTTGTGCTTCTGGGCAAGTTACTTAGCCTCTCTGGGCCTCAGTTCCCTTATGGGTAAAAGATAGATAATAACATAACACCTAATACATAGTAGTGTTGTTAGTCTGACATGTAACCACTCGATAAAGGTTTGCCATTATTTTTATTATTATAAACTAAATGGCAGCTTGTAAGATATTTGAACTGTATCACTATATAGTTTTAGAAGTTATCTCTCAAGTTTCCTTCTTCAATGTTGCTTCCTTATTTCTTAACTCCATCTCAGATGCCGCTGTCAGCTCAGAACATGCAATTATCAAGTACATTTAAACCACTACACAATGAAAAAAACACTAGTCTGAACTTTTCAATCCACCATCACTCTTGAGAAATAAGATCCCTATTCTGGATACCTGGCCATGGGTACCGTCATATACTTTACCTCTTCATTTTCCTCATCCAGGTATTTTATTTGAATAGTGGTCAGATCAAATGAAACTTTTACCTGCAAATGAAATGTACATGCTATATGATCAAGATATCAAAAAGGCAGGTTGTAACAGAAACCCAGAAGTCATAAAAGAAAGGATGGGCATATTTCATTATGTAAAAATCAAACATTTAAATGGCATAAAAGAAAAAAACCATGAACAAAGTCAAAAGACAAAGAATAGTGGGGGGGTATTTACAACTCATAACAAAGGGTTATTATCTGCAATACACAAAGACCATCTGCAAAACTGCTAATTGTTAAGATCAACACAACCCAGGTAAAAGGGGGCAAAAATGTATAGAGATTTCATACAAGAGAAACAGTTGTGCCCAACAAATATATGAAAAGATGTTCAACCTTAATGGTAGTCAGAACAATGTAAATTTAAGCAATGAGATGTCATCTCAACAGAATGGTGAAAAAAGTTTAAAGCCATAATTTCCAATGTTGTCAAAAATCCAGGGTATTGTCATACATTTCTTTTATTTTTTAAAGATTCTATTTGAGAGAGACAGACGGCACAAGGAGGGGTAGCAGCAGGCAGAGGGAGAAGCAGGTTCCCTATTGAGCAAGGAGCCTGATGTGGGACTTGATCCGAGGACCCTGGGATCATGACCTAAGGGTAAGGCAGGAGCTCTAAAGCCAGGTGCCCCTTGTCATACATTTCTATGAGGTGCTACAATTGTTCTGCAAAGCACCTGGCAGTATCTATTAGAATTTAAAATTACAGGTATTGTGACCCATTAATCTCTCTTTGGGAAACTATCCTACAGAACAGTGCATAAGTTATAAAGACAAAGAGATCTCTCCCGTAGTTTATTATACAATGGTAAAAAGCAAAACAACAACAACAAAAAAACCCTTTTTTTGAGGGCACTGAGTAAGTGAAATAACAACAATGAACTCATAGATACGGACAACACATTGGTGGTTGCCAGAGGCGGGGGTGGGAGGTGGATGAAATGGGTGAAGGTGGTCAAAGGTACAAACTTCAGTTATAAAACAAATCCTGGGGATGTAATGTACAGCATGGTAAATACAGTTAATAATACTGTGCTGTATATCTGAAAATTGCTAAGAGAGTAGATCTTAAAAGTTCTCATTACAAGAAAAAAATTGTAACTATGTGTGGTGACAGATGTTAGCTAGACTTATTGTGATCATTTTGCAATCTATACGAATAGAACTGTTATGCTGTACACCTGAAACCTATATGTTATAGGGCAATTATACCTCAATTAAAAAAAAACTAGATACAATCTTTCAGTAAGAAATAGTTAAATTATGGTAGGACAATATCAAAATATTGTAGACAATCCATAGCTTTAAAAAGGATGAGCTCAGATCCTTATCTATTGATCGAGAACTCTCTGTAATATACTGTTGGGGAAAAAGAGCACACTGCAGAATTATGTTTATAGTACGATCCTAGGACGAAATCTGTATGAACATGGAAAATGTGGATAAGTATATACAGAGCTGTTAACACTGGTTACCCCAAAGAGGCGGGAATAGTGGATGGAAGGAGGAAGGAGTAGAAAGATAGTAACTTTTTCTTTATATATATTTGGATTGTTTCACTTCTTATAATGGGCACGTATTACCCTTGTATAATTTAAAATTTACAATAAAGAAAAAAGTTCAACTCATTTAACTACTAGAAAAAGAACACTAACTGTGTTTAATTTTCAGATCATTTGACAAACAGACCCAACTTTCTGGATAACCACCTGTTTAGAACAGTATAAAGAAATAATTGCTGGAAGACAGAGAACTAGATCAGATCATCTTGTGAAGTCTCCCCACCTTTTTTTTTCCTTTTTAGTTATCATTCCACATAACCAAATAAAAGCAGGCTTTTACCAGAGTTTCGTTGGATAAACACAGTTGTGTAGGAAGTAAAACATTCACCACTGCAAACCAAACAAAAACAGAAGAGTACAAAGGGCAAACCAAGAGGAAGAAAGGCACTGACAACAACACAAGAACAGATGAGTAGTTAAGCACCTGTGGGAGTTTTTCTGCTCAACTTTTTTTTTTTGTAAGTAGGATCCAGGCCCAGTGTGGAGCCCAGTGCAGGGCTCGAACTCACTACTCTGAGATCAAAACCTAAGCTGAGATCAGGAGTCAGATGCTTAACCAGCTGAGCCACCCAGGTACCCCACTGCACAACTTTTAGATACTCAACCTCTGACCTAGCAATAAAAACGATTAGCTTGCAAAACATAGGTTATATCCTTGGTGGTTCACAAACCACAGGAACATATCTGCTCTCAGGCAGAACATTTAGCTGGGGCCTGGTTAGGGTGAGGCCCACACCAATTCATTCCTCATGCTGTTTCTAAAATAAACAGTTTTTAAAAGTCCTAGCTGCAAATTAAATAATTTGTTTGTACCCTGGGGGGTGGTGGTGATGGTGGTGCACATCTATATGAATACTGAACCCCTGTCAAAGGTAATTTTCCAAAAGGCCTAAAAAAGGCAAATATGACAGCTATGAAACAACACAGCTAAAAATAGCTACCTTTGAAAAAATTACGCTTAAAGGATGGAGAAAAAAGTAACACTCACCATAGCTTCGACATCAGCCCAAGTTGTATTTTCTGGATCGGAAACCAGAAAGCTTTGAGTTTCATTTTTAAAAGTCACATTTAGAGTAACCTGTGGTTCCATGCTGTGGGGCTAGAGTTGAGAGGATGGGGGAGAGAGAACACATATTAGAGCCAGTTCTAGAAACTGCATAAACAGGCATTCAACAAAAGCTTGTGAAGACCTAATACAGGCTAGGCTAGGAAGATACCTGAGTGAATACAACAGTGTCTCTGCTCTTTTGCTATCTATCTGTTTAAAAGATTTTATTTATTTACCAGAGAGAGAGAGAGCATGAGCAGGAGGGAGAGGGAGAAGCAGGATCCCCAGAGTGGGGAGCCCGATGTGGGGCTCAATCCCAGGACCCTGAGATCATGACCTGAGCCAAAGGCAGACGCTTAACCGACTGAGCCACCCAGGCACCCTCTTCTCCTATTTATAACCTGGTGGGTGGCTTAAAACAAACTCACTGTTTTGTTTTTTATTTTGTACTATTTTTTTATTATGTTAATCACCATACATTACATTAGTTTTTGATGTAGTGTTCCAGGATTCATTGTTTGCGTATAACACCCAGTGCTCCATTCAGTACGTGCCCTCTTGAATACCCATCATCAGGCTAACCCATCCCCCCACCCCCTCCCTTCTAGAACCCTCAGTTTGTTTCTCAGTGTCCATAGTCTCTCATGGTTCGTCTCCCCCTCCGATTTCCCCCCCTTCATTTTTCCCTTCCTGCTATCTTTTTTTTTAACATGTAATTTTGTTTTTTAAAGATTTTTATTTATTTATTTACTTGAGAGAAAAACAGAACAAGAGAGTGTGTGGGCGGGGGGGCGGGGGGGAGGAGCAGGAGGAGAGAGACAAGCAGCGGACTCTTGTGCTGAGCACAGAGCCTGATGCGGGGCTTGATCCCAGGAGCCCGAGATCACGATCCAAGCCAAAACCAAGAGTCGGATGCTCGACCAACTGAGCCACCCAGGAGCCCCTTTGTGTGTGTTTTTTTAAAGATTTATTTATTTTAGAGAGAGAGTGCACGCAAGCAGGCAAGAGGCAGAGGAAGAGAAGCAGACTCCCCGCTGAGCGTGGAGCCCCACCAATCCCACGACCCCAAGACCATGACCTTAGCTGAAATCAAGAGTCAGAGGCCCACCCAGGTACCCCCAAATCTCACTGTTAAATGCTTGTTGAGACAGTGTAAATTTTGGCCACACCCACAGAAATCATCTAACATTTGTAAAATCCTTTTGGATTTTATGGAACTTTATATGATTAGTTAATTCAATAGATACTACTGAATATCTGCTAGTAGCAGGACAGAAGAATAAGACCCATCGATCTCTAACCTCAGGGAATTTACATTCTCATAACTTGAAAGTGACATTCTACATTTTTTTTCTTGGAAAAGCAGCCTTTTCCTAAATTTGAGCAACCCAGGTTCTCTGTTAGATCAGTTTTAACAATTTAGAGGACAAAATACTAGCCAAGAAACTACACAGGGGTAGCAGTCAACACCTTTCATTCAAGTTTATGTGATTTTTTTTTTAGTAGTTTTACTTTTCTCTTTTATGGAGAATTTCATACATAAAAGTAGAGAGTGATGGACGTATAATTAGAATAGAAAACTCAAGGCTACCCTCATTTCATCTATACTTCTGTATTGCCCCACCCAATTCCCCCTATATGGATTGACAGTAGTCAACTGTTTTAACCTAACTATAGTAATCTAATTAAAAAAAAAACTATTATGGGAAAATTTAAACATATACAAAAGAGAAGGATTAATATACAATGAACCCCTAAGGACCCATCAGCTATCTTCCATAATTATCATCAACACAGGACTAATCTTATTATAGCAATACCTGTTCCCTATTGGATTATTCTGACAGACAGCCATTACTTCGTGCATAAAATTGAGCATGTAATTCTTAAAAAAAAAAAAGGCTTTTTGAAAACCATAATACTATTATCATGTCTAAGAAGTTAACAATTCTGTAACTGAATGTCTTCTCTGGTCAGTTTTTGTTTTGTTTTTTTTTTTCTTTAAAAATTCTATTTTTAAGTGGTCTCTACAGCCAACATGGGGCTTGAACCTAAAACCCCAAGACCAAGAGTTGCACATTCTACCGACTGAGCTGGCAAGGCACCCCTCTGGTCAGTTGTTTTTAATTAAGGATTTTATTTACCGATGAGTTGTTAGATTGGTTTGTTCTTAGGACTTTATGAAAAAAGTTTGTTAAAATCTAAACCTAAGTTATAATGAAAAAGGTCATCTTTTTTTTTTTTTTTAAAGATTTTATTTAGTTATTTATTTGACAGAGAGAGAGAGACAACGAGAGAGGGAACACAAGCAGGGGGAGTGGGAAAGGGAGAAGTAGGCTTCCCGCCGAGCAGGGAGCCCGATGTGGGGCTCGATCCCAGGACCCCAGGATCATGACCTGGGCCGAAGGCAGACGCTTAACGACAGCCACCCAGGCACCCCGAAAAAGGTCATCTTTTAAACATATTCATCAACAAATCTTTAAGAAATCTCTTCAAAGAACCAGATTCTGCCCTACGCACAGGAGGTAGGAGATGAAAAAGACTAAGTCTCAGGAGTTTGCAGCGTATCAGGGGAGGGAGCAAAAGGATTGAGGAGAGCTGGGCTCCAGACACAGCTCTGACACATTACTAGCCACGTAACGGTGAGCAAGTCATTTAACCCCTAAGCTTCAGCTCCTTAATTTGAAAATAGGTCAAATAAAAATGTGTGTGCAAGTTCTCTGAAAACGTTACTCAAATATAAAAATGATTACGATAAGTTAGTCTTTAGAAGCCAAAATGCACTGCCCTGTGAAATAATACAATTGAGGCTGTCATTAAAAAGGACCTTGAACTCTGAGGATCAGGGATTTTTTAATCCCAAAACAATTACCCTCCAATTTTTTCCATTCTTCGTCTTTACCTAGAGCCAAGTTCACTACCAAAAAAATACCAGTTTCTAGCACCAATCTGCCGACATCTAGTATTCATTTATATGGAATGCAATTCCTGGGGTCCTTAACATTTGGACAGAATTCCTGTCAACTCCCCAGATTCTTGGGCAAAAAATATCAGGGAAATGAAGTAACTGATTCAGTCAGCCAAAAAGTGGGTATTTTGAAACACATTCTCACTTTTCAATTTCCGAGAAACTGGGAACTTCCACACTTTTGAGACTCCAGAAGGAAACTAATCTAACTCCCCTTTTCTCAAATTACACAATTATAGTTACTTTGGAGCTTATCCAGCTGGTAGGCTGATGAGAGAAAACAGGAAGTGGGGGGATTCTAGCTAAGCTGGATCAAATCCAGGTCTTCATAAAGAATTGCCTATTTCTGTTTGGCTTTTATGTGAAAATTCTTTCAGCAAAAGCATTAATCTTGAACGTGTGGAAATACCAAAGCTATACTTAGCACCATCTGTCCTTGTAGGTTTAAAGTCAGTAAAGTCAGATGGCTGGGGCCTAGGCCTTCAGCTTTCAAAACCGGCATTATTATAAGTTCACGCCACTGGCTCACCTCTGCTTGGCACAAATCAGTTTTTCCTCCACGTCAGTTTTTTCAGGAATACCAAAAATCCCATTAATGAAGCAGACCTGGAAACCTGAGCTTTGATTACTGTCTCCGACAAAGGCCTGACAAGCTATCCGGGGGTTAAAATGTGTGACCTATAGCTGGGTGTTTGACAAAAAAGAAACACGGTGTCTTTCCAATACCAGAGGTCGCTGACCAAGGAGACCTCTTATGAGGTTCTCAACAAGCGGAGAGGGATGGGGTTGGGAGGCTGTGTGGGCAGTGTCATTTTTTTTTCCTTGCAGACTTTATCCTAGTCTTCCAGTTATCGTTTCCTAGCACTCCACGTCCCCAAGACAGTGTCACCACCCTTTGAGGATTCTCTCTCGTTTTCTCTGCGTAGGCCCCCTTTCTGCCAGGGAGTCTTGGCCTTCCATCAGCAGATGCCGACGTTCTAAGCCACGGACCCTCCATCTGTCTGGCAATATCCGCCCCCTCGGCCGCTCGACCCGAACGGCTCCCTCATACGGCCACTAACAAGACTGGCTGCCCCCCAAACACGAAAAAAGTAGCCCCTCTTTTTTGCAGGATCCCTTCCTTAAACTTCCCCTAGCCCTCTTAGTGGCGATGTGCTCCCACCCGTCCGTAACCGCAGCTGCTTCCTTACCAGCTCCCCGCCCCCGGGGGGCGCCTGTCGGAGGCCAGCGCAAGAACCGTTCCCTGCCAGCTCTGCGGCTATCCCTGCAGGGTGAGTCTAACATGGCGGATAGAAATAGGGCCTAGTCCCCAGTTTCTGAGTTTCCGACAAGGTGATTGGCTCTTACCAGTTGTCCCTCAAAACTACCATCCCACTGATTGGTCAATCATGCGGGGCAGGGGCGGGGCAGGAGCTGCCAGAACACCACAACAATAACAAACACTGAGGCAGAGGGGCGGAACTACGAGTGCGCCGTCGTGGGCCAAAGTCCATTTCCCCTTCCCAGGTAAATTCGGCGCCCTCCGCGTTCCCTTAGGTCACTGACCTTAGTGGTCTCCTTGCCCGAGACTCGCGGGGCTGGATGGGAATTGTAGTCTTCCTGGGACTTGTAGGTTCTTTAGCCTATTCGCCGCTCTCAAGATACGAAAACCTAACACTCCAATCCATATCTATCGACGTGCGTAGGCCCACCGAGCTCCTCAAACTATCAACTGGCTTGCCGTGAGAATCGCGCCCGCTTCCGGTGTCGGAATCGCCTCTCCATAAGACTACAGTTTCCAAGGAGCACTGTGGCGAAGGCCTTTCGATCCGCAATGCATGCTGGAAATCGTAGTTTTTCCCACACAATCTTTTTATTTACCGAAACTGGAGACTTCCATTGAGGCGGAAATGGTGAGGGAACGGGGCCCCTTTTTGCGACTGCTTCAGGTACTATCTTGCGCTCATATTCGGGCCTCAGGTAGTGATTCCGGCCCTAGTCCAGCAAACTCTATGACGTAATAAGCCGTAAGTGGAAGCGTAGAGGTGAGGGGGCAGGGGCCTAATAGAAAACTCCGGGAGAATTCTTTCTCTTCCGTCTCTTTCTAATTACGTAAGGCGGGGAAAGAATGGATGGCCAATCGGGAGCCCGGAGAGACTCTCGGCTCTTTCTGCTCCGCTCTTCCGTAATGTGTTTCGATCTCGTATTCTGAGAGGTTCTCGCTCAGTGGCTGCGGCCGGTTTCCCTGGCAACAGGAAAGCGCGGGAATTACAGATAAATTGAAAGTGCGACTGCGCGACGTGAGCTCGCTAAGGCTTTCTGGATTGAGGGCATTCCGGGGAGTTTTTCAGGGAAGTGGGACCCTGGACCCGGGAAGCCCGGACGCTTTGCTCTGGGTGAAGGTGAGAGAGCCCACGGGAAGGGAGAGGGTCCAAGCGGTGCTCCGAGGGACAGGAAAAGGTGTGGACTGTGGGAGAGCAAGATGGGTGTTACCTGGCAGGGACAGGCAGAGGGTGGAAACTGAAAAGACTAAGACGTTGAGTCTGGGGAAGTCGTGGGGACGGGGGCACTTTGTGGGTCTCGGGGCAGGAGAGACACTGAGGATAAGGGAGGGGGGTAGGGTATGTCCGAGGGGGAATCCTGATGGCAGGAACTGGAATGTGTCCTGAGGGGAGCATCATAGTATAAAAAGACCGGCTGGTATATGTGAGAAGGAGATCCTGAGGAGGGAAAGGGGCTAGGAATGTGTCTGAGAATAGGAGGATGCTGGATTTTGTTGGAGGGAGAGCCCTTAAAAAAGAACTGGCTTCATACGCGTTTCTGAGAAGGGACAAGAAGAAAATAGAGGGGCGTCAGTAGTCACAGATGCTATTGTCATGGACGTGCCTAAAGAGGATCCTGAGATGAATGCAGACCAGTGGGAAACACTGGGAAAGAGCAGGGGTGGGGAGCATTGGTTTTGTTTTTGTTGAGGTTAGTTTTCAGCAAGAAAAAGAAAAGAGCCAGGATGATTGGAGAAATATGAGGCTACCATCACTCACCCAGTCACCCCACTGTGGCTTTCTTTTTCTTGGAGAGAGGAAAAGACCAAAAGTGGCTTAGAGGCTTTATGTGAAAAAAAAAATACGGAATTTAAATAGTCTTAATTACAAAAAAAACAGCTTTTCAAATTAAAAAAAATAAAGCTTTTGTCATTAATTCTATGATTGGTATAATTTTAGAGCACTCCAATCTTAAATTTCTTGTTTAAAAATGACATTTAATGAAACTAGGCTGTTGTTCTTATAAACCTTTCAAAGTAACGTGTGTGTATGCATACAAATATACACATATATATTTAAGCTCATGCCTTAAAATTCATTGGAACAGGAAGAAATGGATTTACCTGCGGATCGTGTTGAAGAAGTACAAAATGTCCTTAATGCTATGCAGAAAATCTTAGAGTGTCCAATCTGGTAAGTTGACAGAAGAGTTTATTAATTTGAGATTCTTCTTTACTTGATTATATCCTATGCAAATAAGTAGAATTGACCTAGCATATATTAAGAAGAAAAAGTTATAATAACTATTAAGATTAGACTATTAAAGTTGCTGCTTGGGGCGCCTGGGTGGCTCAGTCGTTAAGCATTTGCCTTGGGCTCAGGTCATGATCCCAGGGTTCTGGGATCGAGCCCTGCATCAGCCTTCTTGCGCCACGGGAAGCCTGCTTCTCCCTCTCCCACTCCCCCTGCTTGTGTTACCTCTCTTGCTGTGTCTCTCTCTGTCAGATAAATAAATAAAATCTTTAAAAAAATAATAATAAAGTTGCTGCTTTTCTTAACTCAGGAGTTTTGGGAATATAGGAAATTACTCCTTTTTCTCCACTCTGCCTCTCCCCTTTCTTTTTTACTCCCTTAACATATTCAGCCCCCCTCTCTTTCCTAGCTCACAGACTGTCTTGATTGATTCTACTTTGCCGCAGAGATCTGGTTTGGAGTAATTGACCTTTTCATCCAAGCTCTAAAAACAGCTCAATCACTTGGAATGGGTAGAGTTAATAGTGGCAAAATAAAATCACAAATAATTTGTGCATGTGTGTGGTTAGGTCTTTGGTTGAACTAGCCCTGTATATTTAAATAAGAGTATTGCCCGGGGGGG